ATGCAGGAACTGTCCAGTCAATTGAACGAGCTGTTGAGCAAGGGATTCATCAGACCAAGCTTCTCACCATGGGGAGCACCAGTCCTATTCGTGAAAAAGAAGGACGGGTCTTTTCGCATGTGCATCGATTATCGAGAACTGAACAAACTGACAATCAAGAACCGATATCCCTTCCACGTATAGACGATCTGTTCGACCAACTACAAGGAGCGAGCTACTTCTCAAAGATCGACCTAAGATCTGGTTATCACCAACTACGAGTACTGGAAGGAGACATCCCCAAAACGGCTTTCCGAACACGATATGGTCACTACGAGTTTGTAGTAATGCCCTTCGGATTGACAAACGCTCCAGCAGTGTTCATGGATTTGATGAACCGAGTATGTCGTCCCTTCCTGGACAAATTCGTGATCGTGTTCATAGATGATATACTCATCTATTCTAGAAACCAGGAAGAACACAGCCAACATCTCCGCCAGGTTCTGGAAACATTAAGGGCAGAGAAACTTTACGCAAAATTTTCCAAGTGCGAATTTTGGATTCGAGAGGTGGATTTCCTAGGACACGTAGTAAGCAAGGAGGAATACACGTGGATCCCTCGAAGATCAAGGCAATAGAGAATTGGACGATTCCAAGAACCCCTACAGAGATCCGGCAATTTTTGGACTCGCCGGGTATTACCGAAGGTTCATACAAAATTTCTCCAAGATTGCCAAGCCACTCACCACACTAACTCAGAAGAATGTGACCTTCGACTGGGGAGAAAAACAAGATGCCGTGTTTCAAACGCTAAAACGAGCATTATGTAGTGCGCCCATCCTAACCCTGCCAGAAGGGACGGAGGACTTCGTGGTCTATTGTGATGCATCAAACCAAGGACTCGGGTGTGTCCTGATGCAACGAGGGAAGGTCATCGCCTATGCCTCAAGACAACTAAAGACGCATGAAGTGAACTACACAACGCACGATCTTGAGCTAGGAGCAGTCGTCTTCGCTCTAAAGATATGGAGACACTACCTCTACGGCACGAAATGTACGATCTTCACTGACCATAAAAGCCTTCAACATATCCTCAACCAGAAAGAACTCAACATGAGACAAAGACGGTGGGTAGAACTACTAAGTGATTACGAATGCGAAATTCGATATCACCCCGGAAAGGCTAATGTAGTGGCTGATGCACTCAGTCGGAAGGAATACTCAGGTCGCCGAGTGAAGTCCCTAACTATGACGATCCATTCACACCTGTCCACGCAAATCAAGGAAGCCCAAATAGAAGCCTTGAAATCCGAAAATGTGGCAGGAGAAGCCCTAAGAGGAATGGATAAGAACCTTGAAACCAAGAACGACGGAGTTCGTTATTTCATGGATCGAATATGGACACCAAAGTTTGGTGGATTCAGAGAAATCGTCATGGACGAAGCCCATAAAACACGATACTCCATACATCCCGGCTCCGACAAGATGTATCTCGACCTCAAGAAGTTGTACTGGTGGCCGAACATGAAAGCCGAAATTGCTACCTACGTGAGTAAATGTCTGACGTGCGCTAAGGTCAAAATAGAATACCAAAAGCCTTCGGGTTTATTACAACAACCAGAAATACCCGAATGGAAGTGGGAGCGGATAACTATGGATTTCATAACCAAGTTACCCAAAACGACAAGCGGACTCGACACCATTTGGGTAATTGTCGACAGGTTAACTAAATCAGCACATTTCCTACCGATCAAAGAGACGGATAAATTGGAGAAGTTAACAAGGACATACCTCAGAGAAATTGTACGACTGCATGGTGTGCCCGTATCCATTATCTCGGACCGAGATAGTAGATTCACCTCAAGGTTCTGGCAGTCGCTACAAAAAGCTTTGGGGACAAGACTAGACATGAGTACCGCTTATCACCCTCAAACCGACGGCCAGAGCGAGAGAACCATACAAACCCTAGAAGACATGCTGAGAGCTTGCGTAATCGATTTTGGCAAAGCATGGGACACACATCTACCCTTGGTCGAGTTCTCGTACAACAATAGCTACCACACCAGTATCAAAGCTGCCCCGTTCGAAGCCCTCTATGGCCGCAAGTGTAGGTCACCTTTATGCTGGGCCGAAGTGGGGGACACACAACTAGCAAAAGGACAAGCAACTGACAACACACTTACTGGGCCAGAAATCATAGGGAAACTACGGAGAAGATTGTTCAAATCCGAGAACGTCTAAAAGCATCAAGGGATAGACAAAAGAGTTATGCAGATAAGAGACGAAAACCCTTGGAATTCCAAGTTGGAGACCGTGTCCTACTAAAAGTCTCGCCTTGGAAAGGATTGATACGCTTCGGAAAACGTGGGAAACTGAACCCCAGATACATCGGACCATTCGAGATCCTTGCCAGGATCGGTCCAGTGGCTTACAAACTTAGACTACCTCAGGAACTCCACAACGTACACCCTACCGTATCAAACCTAAAGAAGTGCTTATCCGACGAGACCCTTGTCGTCCCTCTAGACGAAATTACAATAAATGAAAACCTCCATTTTGTAGAGGAACCAGTAGAGATTATGGACCGGGAAGTCAAAAGAACTAAACAAAGCCGCATACCTATCGTAAAGGTCCGCTGGAACGCCAAGCGAGGACCTGAATACACCTGGGAACGAGAGGATCAAATGAAACAAAAGTACCCGCATCTTTTTCCTAATCTGTAAACTCTATCTTAGATTAAATTTCGGGACGAAATTCCCTTAACAGGGGGATGATGTGACAACCCTATATTTTCCAAAAGCATTGTAACGCTCAAAAGTCAAATACAACTAAATTAACCTTGAAAATAAAGTATTCAAATATCTAAGTTGGGATGCATCAAATACTAGATAACGTGTCAAGGTTTCCGAAAACATAAAGAACGCTCAAAACGGGTTATATTGAAGAAATTATAACCACTCGTATATTTACGACACGCCGTTAAAACATTATTTGACGTAAAAAGTAAAATCTCAATAATGTGCATTTTAGCCTTAAGTATCTAAACAAAAATCGTAGATCTCGTTAAAAGGTGAGCGTGCATAAAAAGATCGCCCAAATTGGACCTCGTATGAAGAAGTTACGAATTTTCGAAGTTTCGTAACAGTAGTAGAGGGCTAAAAACTCGAATTTAAGATCGAGTGTAAATTAGCTAACGCAATCCAAATGAGAGTTGAAGATCTCCGCAATAGGAACAAATGGATGAGAAGACAAACAAAAACCGACGTCGAATAAAGAACCTATGAGTTTTTAAACGAACTTTAGGAGGCCCGGCCTATTAAAAATATATCATTAAAAATAAAGACAAAACTAGCCGACGGAGTCTAAATGAAAGTTGTAGAGCATAATCTCACCTACGCGTGGATATAAAGAACACGAAAAACGGAGCTCGTACGCGAAAGTTACGGAATTTAGAAGAGGACAGGCGGATTACGCCCCGCGTTCTCTGGGAGTACGCCCCGCGTACTAGACCCAGAGTCGAGTCCCATCGGCCCGCCCAAGCTACGCTTAGCTAGCCAGGAGTCGTAAGCCATGACGCATTGTTACGCCCCGCGTACTGACTACGCCCCGCGTACGTCGGAGGTACGCGCCGCGTACGAGGGTTTCCAGCCCTATAAATAGAAGGCATAAGCTCGAGTTTTTGCACACAAATCACAATCCCTCAGTCATTCTCTCATACTTCTAAGCTCCAGAGACCCTCCCCTCACCTCGGTTTCCGCACTCGAGCCCCCGACGAAAGATTTACGTTGCAGAGATCCCCGAAGAGCCCGACGACGCAACTATCCGCGATCGAAGTTCTACTTAACTCTAGTCCCTCTCTTCAAACTTAACAAGTGAGTTCATACCCCTACTTTTCAATTCTTTTTCATGTTTTAGGGGGGGAATACAAGTACATTACACGTTAAAGTATCGTTTTATAAACATAAATGAAATTTCTATCTTCGAATATCGATACAAACATCTTATGTATACAAGAGCGATTATGTCACTAAGTTATTTTTACTAAATGGAACATACTATCTGAAAAACTATAATGGGTATAGTTAACAAGTCAGTCCTACATTTTACATATACATCTTGAAAAACGAAACACTTTCAAAAGAAGTAAGGTCATTTCATTGTAAATCTACTTATACTAGGCAATGTGAGATATTCAAACTTCAACGTACATTTTTTGTATGCATTTCAAGTCCTGTATTATATACCATAATCTCTTGGAGGGAGAGCGTGATACTTGTGTATAGATCTATACGGGATTGACAATCCCGCACCTAAACTACTAGCTATAGTTAGACCGGCAGGTCTGGGGTGACAAATGTCATAACACTGCAACACCTGAAGAATGTTGTTACAGGCCGTCAGTGTCAATAGTATGGTTATAAAACTCACATAAAAAGTATAAAACAAGATTGATTTACGAGATTCATATGTGCATTGCAGTTTTCTACATTATTTTTCATACAAAGTTGTTTTTTGTCATTTGAGTATAAAAGATACTAACACATTCCAACTTTGGAAACTTTTGAATCATCTTACAAGAAAATATTGGACTTTCTAAAAACCTCGTTTACCAATTTACTACCAAAAAGGATATACTTTTCAACTCGAAACACTCATGAACTCACCAACTTAATTGTTGACACTTTTCAAAACCACTTGTATTTCTCAGGGAATCAGTGATACAGGTAACTACCAGCTTTTGGGAGAAGGAACACAAAGGATGTTTTTATTATTGAACATTTATCATCATATTGTAATATTATTTTGATAACATGTATAACGCAACAATATACGTTTTCATTTTATATATATGATGGTTGTGTTACTTTCTTTACAATATTCAATTATTGTGATACTACGTGAAGTCATCCACCCCCGAATGTTTCCGCCATTCTGGTTTGGGGGTGTGACAATTATAATGTTAACATAAGATTATCATAATGTTAATAGAAGATCATCAAAACATCAACACATTAAGTAGTCTAAAAAGCCATTACATTAGGCCACAAAATAAAACAAGTACGATGCTTCCAATCTGCTGTCTTGCCCTTCTTCATAGTCACACTTGGTCTCCTCTTATCAGCACCACTTGCATTTCTCTTCCTAGCCCCACTTGGTCTCTTCTTACCAACAACACTTGCACTAGTTGCTTTCCTTTGATCTACACCACTTGCACTGCTCTTCCCATCCCCACTTGGTCTCTTCTTACCAACAACACTTGCACTGCTTTGACTTGCACCACTAGCTCTACTTTGACCTGCACCACTTGCATTGGTTTGACCCGTACCACTTGCACTACTCTGACCTTTGCAACTCCTTTTTTTATTCCCAAGTTTTTTGGATTTTGAGCATGTGATTGATTTCTCTTTCCTTTTAGGCCTACCAACTTGCACCATCTCTTCATATTCAACCACAAATTCCTTCTCTTCTTCCTAGGTTTACTAATGAGAACATGATACTTAGGAGGAAGCAATGTTGTAGAACAAACATACTTTTCCCATATTATTTGTCCATTAATAGGCTCAATCTTCAAGGAATACATCTCCTTCCATGTGCTCAACCAGTAAGTAGGTTGAACCCAAGTTTTAGGTAAACCAACATCTTTCTTATTTTTCCTCATGTCCCAAATTGCCACCAATGCATGTTTACAAGGAATTCCAGTGAGTTCACATCTCCTGCATCTCCTGCATGAGCACGTAACGCTCGATATTTTTCCAAGGTAATATTTATTTATTTATTTATTTCGAGTTAATTATTTTTATTGAGTTGGAATTGGATCCATAGGATCCTTATTATTGGACTTAAGGGTGCCGTGCACGGGGGGTACCACCCTATGTACGCACAACGTACTTGTATAAGTTGATCGTGCATGCCATGCATGTACGCGCAACGTACGCGTGCAGTCCGTAAACCTTAAATTTTAGGGTTGAGCACTATATAAAGAACATTATGCCGGGTTATGGGCAATACATCAATCCTATGGTGTACATGCAAACACTAATGCTTAGATCTAGTTTTTCTAGTTTGTACATGCAATAATCATCCAAGGCTTGCAAACCCTAATCTAGCATACAAAAAAATATCAAATTCAACATAAATAACTAGTAAGAATGTTACCTTTGATTGTTGCTTAAAGATCTTAAGCTTTTGAGAAACCTAGCACCTCAAATGCGATGCCTCTAATGAATCACAAACACCAAAGCAAGTTGGAAGGTGTTGGAGATAGGGGAAGGGCACAAAATCAGCTCTATGATCTTTAGGGTTCAAGTGATAGCCAAAATTGTGAAGCCTAGGGACTCTATATATAGGTGAGCTAGCAGGGTTTCAGTTAAAACCCTAATTGGATTGCTTAGGCCTTAAGCAGTCCACAGGATCCTTCTAGAAGGCCTCCTATGGATGAATTATATTTGGGCTTCCCCATAGAATTCATACATCCCTTCTTTAGGGTTCCTCGGCCCATATTGCAACTATCACATAGTTACAATATCAGTCCCCTTAGTTTAATTAATCTCTTTTGACCATAAAATTATTTTTAATTAATTATTGACCAATATTAATTAAACAAATATGATTTCTCCTTTAATATATTACTCATATAATATATTAATAAACCATAATAACCTCTTTCTCCATTATCCATCCAGTCAAGTTGCTCTGGTGAAGGCAACCCAAAAGGACCATGCTACAACTGGGTCAAGTAAATACCAAATATAGTTAAGGGCTTAGACACCTAATCCAATAGTCTACTACTTGGATAAGTCTAATAACTATAAATGAAAGTACGACTTCAAAATCCGATTAGCAATCGTAGCTCTCAAAAGCTGCTATCGAAATCTGACACATCCTTTAGATAAGGGATCATATAGTCATCCATTCACAAGATATCGTGTGGACAAATACATGGAACATAGTCATACTTATTGTCCAATAGTTTGTTTCTCGATCTATGATCTTTCTGACATAGAACTTAATTGAACACATCAATTCAGTCCTGATCGGGCCCGATACATAATTCAAACCAAATCATCGAGGGGCCCAAGATATCGCTTCTACCCTCATAGGATAAAAGCAACATATAAAGTTAGACTTATATGCTTGTACTAGTTACTCATCAAATCATACACAAAAATGCGTTTTATAACATACAATCAATGATACATTTACGCATTATCAATGCACAACCGACTCGTAAACAACATCTCATATATCTAGGTTTAAAGACTATATGATATTATCGTCTCACAATCACTTGTGATTAAATTCCATGAAGTGATTCATCTGAGTGCGGGTTTAATCTAATACTTGAATCTTAATTCAAGAGAAGTCATGAACGGTGCAGCAAACTTTTGCTATGTCTAAATGTGTGAGCGACTGTGGATAGTTTAAATAATCTTATTATTTAGGAAGTCAAAACATGCAAAGTGAAACAATAGTAAATAATTAACACAAGACAACAACTTTACTCATAAATAATACTCCTTTATTTAATCATCAAATGTTAATTACAATTTATCTATTATAAGTTTCTAAAACTATATAATCACTAAAACTAATATCGTCCTTCGGCCCAATGCTCCTAGCGTGTTGCAAGGGCTTAACCATACTCAGTCCCTTCGTAAGGGGATCTGTTGGGTTCTCTTTGGATGATACCCTCTTTACTATAAAGAGTCCATCTTCTACCCGATGTATAATGAAATGATATTTTTTGTCGATATGTCTGGATCTACCATGATCCCTCGGTTCCTTGGTCAAGGAAACCGCACCTTCGTTATCATAGAAAATCTCCATAGGCTCTTTTATGGTCGGTACAACTCCAAGGTCTCCGATGAAGTTCTTTAGCCACATCGCCTCCTTCGATGATTCGCTCGCTGCTATGTACTATGATTCACACGTTGAATCAGTTACAGTCTCCTGCATGGAACTTTTCCAAGTTACTGCTCCTACATTTAGGGTAAAGACCCAGCCCGACTGTGAGCAGAAATAATCCCGGTCAATCTAAACACTAGAGTCACTATACCCTTGCACTCTCAAGTCATCACTGCCACCGAGGATAAGAAACCATTCCTTAGTCCTCCGCAGGTACTTAAGAATATTTTTTACTGCAATCCAATGTGCTCTAACGGGGTTCCTTGATATCTACTGAGCATGCTCAAAGCGAAGGCTACATCAGGGATAGTACATTTCATAGCATACATGATTGAGCCAACTGCAAAAGCATAAGGTACTCTGCTCATCTTTGCTATCCCATCATCGGTACTCGGGCTTTGAGTCTTACTCAACTTGGTATTGCTTTGGATTGGTAACACCCCTTTTGTTGGAATTTTCCATGATAAACGTTTTAACACTTTATCCAACTAAGTACTTTGACTAAGTCCTATTAGTCTTTTACTACTATTTCTCAATATCCTTATCCTAAGAATATAAGCAGCTTCTCCAAGGTTATTCATAGCGAAGCACTTCGCAAGCCAGGACTTAACCTACTGTAGGGTTGGGACGTCATTTCCTATGAGCAATATGTCATCCACAAACAAAACGAGAAAGTTAACTATACTCCCACTGGCTTTGACATGTATACAGGACTCATCCTCACTTCTCGAAAAACCAAACTCTTTGACTTTCTCATCGAAACAAAGATTCCATCTGCGAGATGCTTGTTTCAATCCATAAATGGATTTCTCAAGCTTACACACTCTATTCGAGTACTTTGCATTGACAAAACCCTCTGTCTAACTCATGTAAACATCTTCAGCCAACTTCCCATTAAGGAAAGCGGTTTTGATATCCATTTTCCATATTTCATAATCATGATACACAACTATGGCTAGCATAACCCTTATAGATTTAATCTTCACAACTGGTGAGAAGGTCTCATCATAGTCAACTCGGGGAGTTTGAGTAAATCCCTTCGCAACCAATTGCGCCTTATGCGTGTGTACTTTCCCATCCATGTCGGTCTTCTTCTTGAAGATCCATTTGCACCCGACCGTATTACGACTCGCTACATTTTCAACCAAGTTCCAAACATGATTATCATACATGGATTGAATCTCGCTGTCCATAGCTTCCTTCCACTTTGTAGACTTTGGGCCCGCCATGGTTTCCTTGTAGTTGTTAGGCTCATCCAAATTTATTAGTGTACTATCACTAACAAAAATATCACCCTCCGTAGTAATATGAAAACCATAAAACACGGGTGGAACACTAACTCTTCTAGAACATCTAAGAGGTAAGGACTCGTCAATCGGTTCAACAGGAGTATCCTCCTCGAGTTGAGTGCCAGTGTTAGAGGTTCCTTCATCAATTGATTCTTGAAGCTCTTCAAGATCAATTTGCTTCCCACTATCCTCTTGGAATATGAATTCCCGCTCTTGGAAAACCCCTCTCCTCGCAACAAAGACAACATTGTAACTCAATCGATGTAAGAGATATCCAAAGGACTTCTGTGGATAGCCGATGAAAATACACCGCTCACTATGAGGTTCGAGCTTCTCATGAGTCTCTCGTCTTATGAAAGCCTCGCAACCCCAAACCTTGATATGTGATAACGAGGGAGATTTCCATGTCCATATCTCGTGAGGTGTTTTGGCAACTTGCTTTGTCGGGACTAGATTATGGATATGGGCGGCAGTCTCTAACGCATACCCTTGGAATGAGATAGGTAGCGAAGCTCGACTCATCATGGAACGAACCATGTCCAACAAGGTTCAGTTAAGACTAATAATTAGTCACGGTAAATATTAGACTAAAATCTAGTGGTAATAATACTAGGTTTCGTCGAAGGAAATTATTTTAAAGTAAACAAAGCGTTGTCCGAGTACCGAGTCACCACCTTCTCAAGTGAGTGCATAGTTACTTTCATCTTACACATAGATATGAAGTATTTTATATAAACTACGTGCTATGTGTGCATATTATCTGAATACTTGTTGTCTATGCTGGATGAACGTTTTTTTATACATGTTTAAATGATTTGAACTGTATACGTATTTTAAATATACAAGTATGTTGGGTATGAGATGGGTAGATGAATGATGAGAGATAAAAGATGATGTGAGTAAACATTGGCAGCTATAGACTTAGTGCCTAACAAATAACATCGGTAACTATGGACTTAGTGCCTATTAGACAAACACGGGTAGCTATGGACTTAGTACCTGTTAGGAATTGGTAGCTATGGACTTAGTACCTATTAGATAAACACAGGTAGCTATGGATTTAGTACCCAACAGCTATGGAATTAGTGCTTTACGAACAAGCATTGACAGCTATGGATTTAGTGCCAGTCCTATAACTCTAGAAGCAAAGGACTTCAGAATGAACAAATGCAGGATATATGACTCTTAGGATAGATCCTTAAGAGTAAAGAAGATAATGAGGATGGGTAATTGGGTCGATTGTTTGATTGTTTAAACATAATAATTATATTATTGTGGGTTGAAAACCTTATGTACTCACCAGGTTTTCCAACCTGACCCACTTAGTTTATTTATATTACAGGTGTTGGATGGAGTCACATTACACTGAGAGATTAAAGAGATGTAGATCACTAGTGTAAATAAATGTAAGTTCTGTTTATGCTTATGTTTCTGTATTGACAATGACATCCCAAATGTTTTAAAATGAATTAAAAATACTTTTCTTCAGAAATGCTTTGATAATGTATTTATCATGTTTTAGTGGGAACAAATTCCGCAACATTTTTATTAAAAGAGGTACTCTGATTTTTATAAAACATAAACAAAATCGGTCTTTTCTGGCCGTGAAAATGGGGATGTCACAGCATGGCTTATGTAGCTTGTATGGCTTATATGTTATATGTGATTATGTGTATTGTGTGTGGTATGTTATGGGGAACTCACTAAGCGTTAGCTTATAGTTTGTTGGTTGTTTCAAGTACTTCAGGATCTAAGGGCAAAAGCCCGACTTGATGATGCGACATGCACCCTCTGGCGTTTTTTTTGGGGACACTAGGATATTATGAATAATTTATCTGATGTTATGGATTTTGAAAACAATTGTGATTGGAATTTTATAAGTTATGGAAATGAATTCGTTATTTAAAAATGAAATTTTTTATTGAAAATTTGGGTTGTTACAGGGTTTGTTGTTTAGAATAGCTCATATGGTATGAAATGCACCTCATTCGATATTTTCTGTTTTATTTTCAATATGATGGTCACAAGGAGATTCGAGACAGGAGCTGGGTCGAGTGGCTAGGATAGGTCGGAGTTGTCTGGTGATTAGATTAGGGCATTGATTTCTTTTAAGGTTGTGGCTGCTATTCGGGGTCAGGTACCGAAGCTATTTAGGTCTTTCAAGACTGCCATGATTGAGTACTTCGATGACCGATACGCTCCACTTACTGAGGCTGTTGTTGTTGCAGCTACCACGACTGTTGGAGCTCGTGGGGAGAAAGTCTTCCAATATCGGGACTTCGACAAGACGAAGCCCCCAGTGTTCAATGGGGTTCAGGATCCGATCATTGCTATGAGGTGGTTGCCCAATGTTGAGGGATGTTTATTCACTTGCTCCTACCCAACTGACCAGAAGGTCAAATGCGCCCTGAACCTTCTCAGGTTGGGGGCAGAGGATTAGTGGAGGTTGGTTACTAGCTCTTACACTCCAGAGTAGAGGGCTGTTGTTTCATGGGAGAAGTTCTCTGAGATGTTCCGCACGAGATATGTTCGATTGGTTGAGAGGGAAAGATTGGCCCAGGAGTATCTGGACTTGAGGTAGGGGACTGAGTCAGTAACAGAGATCACCAAGTTGTTTACTGAGAGGGCATTGTTTTGTCTTGATTTTTCTACTTCTGAGCAAGCTTAGATGACTCGATACTTGAGCATGCTCAAGACGGATATCCGCCAGTTTGTGTCTACTTAGCGTTATGGTACACTTGTTGAGTTACAGGAGGCCACTAGGAGGTGAGAGATTGATAGACATCCGCCAATTTGTGTATACTCAACATTCTATGCAAGTTTTTGATTTGAGAGATATGACGCAAGATCTGGAGACGCTAGCATAACTCTACATATGACATTTGAAGGCTTCACATGCGGTCTCTACGGATAAGATTATAGGTTGGATGGTATCCAAACAACTACCTAGAAGAGCACCAAGAAGAAGTTGGTCTTGGCGATACCATATCTGGTAGAGGGGATTAGGCTTGTGGTTAATGGTTTTGGGTGGTATTATGGTTGACTCTTTGACATGTTTGTCAAGATCAAGACCAATAAGTGTAGAAAGAACTTCTTTCCTCCATACATGGAATTTGGTTGTTGTAAGTTTGATGGGAAAATGAGTGTGTGGGGATTTCAACAATGGTAGTCATGCGTGGGTTTGAAGGTGACTACTGGTTTTTGGATCGAAAAGGCTCTGAAGAAGCTTTGATACCATATAATGACTACAAAGAGTATTTGAGATTATGTATATCATGTATATTACAAAACACTGTGTGGCCTTTTATAGGCAGATTCACAACAAGGTGAGAGAGAGATTACATGTGGAAAAATGGTAAACATATTATGTAATACAAATCTTCGTATACTTTCCTCCTTATGGTGATTGTGTAGACCCGATGGTAGTGATCTCCCTTATAGTTCGATGTGCTTATGTTGAATTATGTTAAATGTAAACCTAACATCCAGCCAAACATCTTATTAAATGACAATGACTTCACGTAAATGAAGGTAACCAGTTACGTAGAGTGGAAACCGGGTGCTGGAGACAATATGCAAACAAAAGCCAACTTAGTTGATAAAAAAATTTAAGGTGACTTTTCCAAACAAAATTTTAGGGATTTTTTGGAGATTTTTTTATTTATACAATGATTTTATGTAATAAAAATAAATTATAATATATTTTTTTCCAACTTAGATGCTCATATACCCAAGTTTTAAAAGAAATATTTGTATTATTACAAACCACAACACAATATGGTAGAAATTATGAAATAAAAACTACGAAAATTATGAAATAAAAACTACGAATGGTGCATTACATGTTGGAGATAGAAAGTGTATTCTAATAATATAAATATTTCTTTTAAAACATCTACTTGTGTATAACAGTATTTTAATCGAAGAAAATGCATGATAATTGATCATCTATACGAGTATTAATAGGAGAAAATATATTATAAATCAATTATCATATATTTTCTCCGAATAAGATACTCAAAGTAGATGGTTTAAAAGAAATATTAACTATGAAATAGAAACTAGGAAGGGTGCATGACATGGTGGAGGTGGAAGTGGATCCTGTCTTGTTTAAACAACACTATTTGATTACCATTAAATTTGTAACTTGGGCTGCAGATATTGTACATTACGGTTTCCACGCCCTTTCCAACCCCTTCTTCGCTAGAATTCCATATTCTCTGTCGCTTTCTGCCTTTACACACCCTTTCGGTTTCCATTCTCCGTGAACCCACTATTCAACTTTCGAATCATCACTGAAAAACCCTCAGAATTTCCAGGCAAGTTTCATGTACTCATCAATTCATCATCTTGTCTCGCTTTTCTCAATTAACATCGTGCTTTTGTTTATATATGAGTGATCTCTTCTAATCGTTTTGAATTTGCAGATTGACTGTCCGTCGATTACGGTTTGTTTTGAAAATTCGTGCGTTTTCCCTTAGAATTCTAATTTAATTATAGGATGTGTTTTGAGTATTTGTGTGGACTGTTCTTCGTTTCTATTTATTTATCTGCGTTTGGTAGTTTGTGAATTGACGTTATGTTTTTGGGATTTCTTCTTTGCATCTTCTGTCGGTTGTGAGTTTCATTATAGAGTATACGTCAACATCTAATTTAAACAGTTTATCATGTAATCTTGCAAGTAAGAAACATCAAAACAGATTATGTTTTTGGTAAATTAAATTACAGAACACATATCACCATGTTTGATTTTTCCCTTTAACCCCCAAAAACAAAATTTTCGTCAAGTCTGGAGTTAGTTGGTTCGTATTCTTATCCATCACAAATGCCACTTTACTATCTTAAAAAGGTTTTACCGAATGAATCAGTAAAACTCAAAAGGATACAAAAGGACTTCATATTCCCCTCTTTTCATTTGTACTTTATAAGAAGCATCTATAGATGAATATTTTCAGTAGCTTGATTTGAAAGCAGAATTCCTTAACCCGTGGAGACGTTTTAATGGTGATTGCCTACTTTAAAAAAAAAAGTTAATTGAATTAAGTTTTTTGTTGATTAATCTTCAGATTTGGCAATTTCGTGTTGATCTTGAGGTCCCCAATGCAGCTGTATCATCATCCGTATTCAATCGAGAGCCAGAAAGTCAGGCTGGCTTTAGAAGAACGTAATATCGATTACACTTCTTACCATGTCAATCCTGTTACAGGCAAGAACATGGATCCTTCGTTTTTCAGGATGAATCCAACCGCTAAACTTCCGGTTTTCCAAAATGGTTCCCATGTTATCTTCAACACGATAGAGATTATTCAGTAAGTTTTCAACCTATTTCCGCGTGACAAAATTCAATTTTTTCAGAATCCAAAATGATTTTATTCAGACCTTAAAAAAAGCCCATTCTTCAACACGAAAACTTTACAGGTACATCGAGCGGATTGCCCTTGTTTCTTCAGGAAGCGGAATCATAACACAAAGCAGCAAAAAAGTGATCGAATGGATGTACAAAATCCAAGAATGGAACCCAAAGTTCTTCACCTTTTCCCACATCCCCGAAAAATACTACATGTCCGTATCAAAGTTCATACGCCGCGTAATAATCGCCCGAATGTCCGAATCTCCCGACCTCGCAACCGCTTACCACACCAAACTAAAACAAGCCTACGAAACCGAAGAAAAACTACGGGACCCACAAGTCCTTCAAACCTCAACTCAACATCTAATTCGCCTACTTGATGACGTGGAAGCCCAACTGGAACAAACTTTGTACTTAGTAGGGGACGAGTTCACATTAGCCGATGTCATGTTGGTTCCTGTTTTAGCCAGGTTAGAGCTCTTGGGCTTGGAGAATGATTATATAAATTGTAGGCCGAAGTTAGCAGAGTATTGGAAACTGGTTCAAGAGAGGCCGAGTTATAAGAAGGTGATTGGGAAACATTTTCAAGGGTGGAAGAGACAGAAAACGTTGTTCAAGACATGGTGCATTGTTCGTATGAGATGTTTGCTAAAACGGTATTGAATCATCTAGTGCTTTTTCGTTAGTTTCTTTGAAATGTTAATTAATAGCGTGTTTGGGTTTTTAACTTTAAGTGTGTAGTAGTTTGATCTTTGATGTATGTAATTTACTGAAGAAAATTGTAAATGTGCAGTACAATGCAGGGTTTGTGAATGCATAGTACTGAAAGGTCTTTTGTATTGTTTTTGGCATACATTGGACCAAGAGTATCATGTCAATAAGGATAAAATGGTTAATTTTTATGCCAACTTGTGGAACATGATAGGGCAAGGAATTACTCTGTATGTACAAAAGACGTAAATGTCGTCATCCTTAATTATTGCAAAAATAAAAAGTTTGTTGTTTACCTTATAGCCAAAGTGATGTCGATTTTTAATTTTTCTTTTATGAAACAATGTTTGTTTATGGTGATTGTGATGTAAGTTTACAATGAATCTAAGTCTTTACTACTAGCGAGTGAGGTGTTCAAAGTAGAGGTCCACAAATCAAACAAGTTTTTATTTTAACCGATGAAATAAAAGAACCGGTTACGGTGAAGACCGGGAGGTTAAATATTTGTTTATTTACTAAATCCGATGGATTTTGATTGATTTTTAAAAATAAGGGACGACCTTATAAATGTTAGAAAAATACGGAAAGAAATAGTCAATTGCTAGAGGGTACTATGGTAAATGTTTGAAAATATATATATATATATATATATATATATATATATATATATATATATATATATATATATATATATATATATATATATATATATTGTAAATTTTTAGTTTTATGAAAATCCAAAAAAAAAAACAATTTTCCAAAAATTATAACAATTTAAATAAAATACATCAACACATTATACTAATGACTTTGTAAAAAAATTAAAAATAACTTTTTGAAATGTTCATATTAGGTTTTATAAAAATTTTAACAATTTATAGGATATCTATACACTCCACCACACACTACGCGCATACTCCCTACGGGACACACCAATGCCCTACTCTTACACCCCCACCCATCCACACCAATGCCAAGCCAATAAGCTCATGCGGACCTTAATGCCTACAACATCCACACTCATACTTAACCATCTACCTCCATATCTATACCCATACCCCCACACATGCCCGTCCCACCCCCAACTCATCCTACCCCACCACTCACCCTGCCTCACTACCACCTCATCATACCCTCATTCCCACCCCAATCTACCCCACCTTCACACCTAAACCCATACACACACCCTACCTACCACACTTACACTCATACTTACACCAACACACCTCACACCTCACACCACATCCACATGGCCACACCTACACCCACATCCACAATGACATTGACACCGCCAATTGCCAACGACACTCATACATATATACACATAGGCGCACCCACACCCACACACATGTAAACATTAATGTCAATTTCGACGCCCACCTCACCGATATACCCAAACCCATACCCCACCCGAACAAACATATATTGGTTTGAGTGGATAAAAGTTTAATTAATGAAATTTTTACAAGAAAATCAATAAAATGGTATTTTGGGCATCTTACATATTACTTTGCAATTTTCTCTTTACAAATCTACAAATACAAACTTTTTTATTTTCAACCAAACATACTCAACGAATGGATAGCCACGCCTCCAACAAACCAAACCTTCCTCAAAGTAGTAAATTGGTGCTTTATATTTATATCTTGATCTGTGCATTATAGATCTCTAGTACAAAATTACGAAAATAAACTAAAACAGAAGATCATAAGAAATGTTCGGCGAGTCACAATGCTTTTGGCGGAAGACATTTGCATTGACACATTTAATTGGATAAAAAATCGATGAAAGTTAGTTTATCTGGTCAATTTGGTGTATATCTCCTATTACAAATGCTCTCTTGTAGTTGATTTGAATTTTTTTTGGCTCAAGCTCCTTGCCAATGTTTTAAAAACTGGTTTGAACCGGCCGGTCGAACAGGTTGGACCAGGAATTGGAGAAGAGAGCAGTTCAACTATCACCGGTTTTATGTCTATTTCTAAACCGGATCGAATCGGCCAGTTTTTACAAAAATCCGGTTGAACCGGTTAAACTGAATAAAAACACATGGAATTGAAATCTTTTGCATAATAAACTTTG